TCATAATCGTGTGTTTATTAGTCACGTTGAATCAATGAAAGCAGTTGAATCTTCTGTTTATTCAGCTGCAGCGATAGGCATTTTCTGGGTTTCTTCTGCGAGGCGTATTTGGAGTTTCAGCGCAAGAGCGCCCTCTGGCCTTCGGATGGAGATTTACTGCTGATCACAGAACCGTGCTTCACTGAAAGATACGCATGACAATCGCAGCTTCTGTCGAATCGCGATCTCGATTCCATTTCAATTTATCGTGCAGCCCTACCCTGCTGTACTGAAACTGTACCGAACCGTGACATCAAAACCGAGGTACGTACCGAACCGTCATGTTTGTGTACCGTTACACCCCTAATATGTATATGTTGCATAGCAAAATGTTTTTATGGACAACAAAATGTATTGAAAATACTGAAAACGTAAATAGATTTTTGAGGTCTAAAAATTTTACAAACCATAGAAGAAATGCACATTTCTAAAGGCAATATTGTGACAATGTTGTGACGTACATCTGAGCGCAACATATTATTGACAAAAAGTGTAGGTTGTTGATTGGAGAATCAGGCAGAAAGAAGTCTGTCATTTTCATCACAATATCGAGTTATGACATTTTGATTTAACACAAGTTGTTGTTTTTTTTTTTTTTTTTTAGCTGAAATGAAATGTTGGAGCCAGAGAAGATAATAACAGGGGAGTAAACTTTTGAACTACTGGCCTGATTGAGCTAGCAGAAAAAAACTGAGCCCTGTACCCAACAACATAAAAAAGGGAAAATAATCACTGTGCCAAATTGATACTTTTGGTTAGAGTCTTACTTTATAATAGGACCAGTGAAGGTCGGCTGGAGCTCTGCCATCTCATCATCCTCTTCACAGTACTCCTGGAGCCGAGCAGACATGCGTGTTCGCACACTCGTCACCACACAAGAGACAGGGGCTGCTGGGGCTGTATTTGCTGTTGCCACGGTAACCATCACAACCGAAAGGGATGCTGAGGCTGAAACGGTTGAAGATGAAGGTGTTGCTGATTCTTCAGCTTTCACCTCTTTAACCTGAGGTGAAGGACAAATACTGGCACCTTTAATACACAGATGAATACAAAACATATCAAGTCATAATTATCATGTTTGAGCGCAACGTAAATCACCTTTTCTTTTTCTATGGAGGCTTTATTGTACTCAACCAGTCGAACGTTGGCCTCATCAAAATTGATTTTCTTAGGGAAATCTGGCATATTATTGTTTCTGCCGATTTCAGCAAGGATATCCTCCAGAATCATCTGTTCTTGCAAAGTGGGGCCGCTCTCAAAAATCAATACAATATACTTCTCATCATCTGGAGAGCATCGACAGAAGAAGGAGAGGAGTAAGAGGTCATATCTGGTCCAAATATAAGCAGTAAAATGAACAACAAACAAGGAACCAAGGACATCCATCCATCATGAAAAGTGCTCCACACGGCTTCGGGGGGTTAATAAAGGACTTCTGAAGCGAAGCAATGCGTTTGCATAAGAATAATATCCATATTTAAAACTTTATAAAGCGTAATCTCTAGCTTCCACGAACTGTCGTACAGTGGAAGCTAGAGATTACGCTTTATGAAGTTTTAAATATGGATATTATTCTTGCACAAACGCATCTATTCAATTCAGAAGGCCTTTATTATCTCCCTGGAGCTGTGTGGAGCACTTTTCATGATGGATGGATGTCCTTTTTTGTGCTTCAAAATCTCGACCACCATTCACTGCCATTATAAAGCTTGGAAGAGCCAGGACAATTTTTAATATAACTCCAATTGCATTCGTCTAAAAGAAGAAAGTCATGTACACCTAGGTTGGCTTGAGGGTGAGTAAATCATGGGGTAATTTTCATTTTTGGGTGAACTTTCCCTTTAAAGATGGAGTTTGTAAGCTTTTTTTCCATGTCAAAAGATGTTATATGGATAAGAATAATCGCATGATGAGTGTAAACGGCTTTTGCAAAGGTTGACTGAAAATATGCTTTCTTTTTGTAATTCTGCTAGGTTACACTGGTAGCGCAGAAACTGCATATTTTGCTTTTAAGGAGATGTTGTAAGGAGTGTAATGGGATTGAGTTCTGATACTCACTGTTGCCGCTGCAGTCGTACCATATTTCTCCGTCGTCCTGAGACATCTGCAGCTGAGTCTGTAATCGCTGGCACTCCTCATCGGTGGTCTGCAGAAACAGGACCGGCAGCTTCTTGACGGTACACCACTCGCATCTGGTCAGCTCTGACGACCGCAAACAAACGCTCTCCAGCACATTCACATCGGGACCTTCAATCACAACACCACAGCACAGAAACGACAAATCAATAAGTCTTATTTTACAGGAAAATCATAATGGTTACTGAATGGACAACATATAATACATTGCTTTCTAGTTTAATTCCTTTAAAACAGCATCTTACCTTCTGTCTCCAGCCGTATGTTCTCCACCGAAAACTAGAAGAAAAAAAACCCCACACTCAATAACAACAAAAAACGAGCACAACAATTCTCACAAACAAAACATACACTAGATTTAACATACATTTAGGGTAGAGGTTAACTGACATACTGGTTTTACGGATTAATCTCAAACAAAAGCAACTTCTGGATATCAGGGGGGAAAAAAATAAAATCCACAGCAATAGTTTTTCTTTGTAATCCTCCCATTTCTCTGTGGCCATCACTGGCTTATACAGATGCAAGAATTTAAGGGTGCTTTCACACTTGATTCGATTGCTTGGTCTGAACCAGACTCCAATTGCTCTCTTTGCCCCCACTAGATTGTGTTCACACCATATTTTTTGGGTCTGTTTTGATCGCGGGCGCGATTTGGAATCACAAACTTGGCTGCATTTGAGTCTTCTTCAAGGCATTTTGAGGACACAACATCGTCAAGTAAGTAAATTTAACGAATGTTACAGTATCCACCGTAGTTGTCCGCTAGTAAAAACTGTTTTATCTGTCATTATCCGTGTACGAACCAGAGCAAACAGATAATGTTACCTCACGAAGTTAGCCATCAGTCTTCTTGCTTACGTTGAGCATACCAGCTTATTTCTGGTTCAAACACAATATTTCCACTTGCCATTGCAACGCGTTTACTACAGTTCATTTAGTGGATCAGGAGGCGCTGGCTGGCTGGCTGGAGTGTGACTGAGTGGAGGCGGGGCTAATTTGCGTATTCATAGATCCGTGGATAGTAAATGAGGCAAGGGTGTTGAGTTGCATTCAAGCTATTTTAAGGCATGAGAAAATTATTTTCTCAAGAAAAAACATTTAAATGTGTCATTTTGATGATCAAAGATTAGTTTTAAAGGATAACATTTTTGACTACAGGGGGACTTTAATATTATAATAAAGTTCTGCACTATTTTACTTTGTTTTTGTTCAGTTTAGTCGAGTCAGTGTTTATCTTACATGAGCACTCCAGTACACGAATATTTTCATAACACAAGCCGCTTAAAATGAATAGCTATCAACATAACTGATATTCAAAATGGTAAGCAAGTGCTGCTTTGTTCACGTTTCGTATATATGCATATATCTCGTTTATCCTTGTTTCGGTTTCTCCTTTTGAAAGACAAATGAAGACTATTGATAGCTGCTGATATAGACAGTTAACTCCTGCGCAGAACGCACATGCTAGTTTGCAGTCGGCTGTGCGGTTTGTACAAACGCAGCTTTTTGGTCCAGACGCAGCCAACGCGAGGCGACAACACCGTTGACTTTCGTCGCCACTAGTTCTTTGAAGTCAGCTTGATGTGCTTCGGTCTTTTTGGACAATTGTAAACATAGATACCAAAAAAAACTTATTTGAGTCTCTTTGAAAGATGTATAAGCTGCACTACTCTATTCTGCCTGCGCTTGCAGAAGAATCCAGATGTTCAAGAACTAACAGAACTGAACGCCAAGAAGATCATTCAAATGTAGCATTTAAATAAAAAGCAAAAATCTCAATTCCCAACTCTGCAGGTGATATGAATCAGGTTTTTGGTTGATCTCACCACAATAGGCTTGGTGACCATCCTGCGTAAAGTGCCAATCCTCACGCTCCTGCACTCCAGAATAATGCTGCCCAACTTCTGCACCTGACCCACTTTCCTCTTCTTAGGAGACGGATCTTCACACACGGGGTTCCCAAACTAGATGAAAAAAAAAAAAAACGTACACACTTCAAATACAACAAACCATCTAGCGAACACATTCATCCTTTCAAACCAATTCTCAATTTTTCAGAAAAAATAAATCTGCTGATTTGTCATACGTGTCAAATGTTTGAAAAAGCATTTCAAAAAAATAGAAATTGGTCAGTGAAACGTTTGCAGGGCAAGCAAGAATCTGAAATACTGAGCCCTGACAAAAATGTAGCAACAGTACAACAAAAACACTTCAGATGTAACGCTGCTTACTGGATCTCTCATGCGATTCCTTCTGGGTCCCAGGTTTCTCTGGCTTGTCTGAGTGAAAAAGTCACTGCTAGGGTCCTCATGTTCACCAGCTGCTTTAACCGCCGCTTCCACCCGACCACCGGAGGGAGCAGGAGATGAGTGGGCAGAGTCCGCGGGCCGCGGCGACACGCTGTCCAAACGGTTACCGGTCCCTGTGCTGCTGATATCATCACTTTCTTCATCCTCATCGCTGGACAGCACAACTGCATTTCATCAGAACACGTAAATGACACACACATCTGGATTACTGGTGTCCCTGATAACCCTCAGCTCTTGGTTAAGCCTGATCAAAAATGCTTTTTAATTATGTTGTGATGCTTAACATTATGAGTGACATTATTGTATGTTGCTCTGTTGCGAGTTGTATGCTCCACTTATTTTTGTTATGCACCATGAAGCCTCCTTGGGTTTGTTGAAAGATGTTATATAAACAAAACAATAAATTATTAGTATGACAGTAATAAGTTAGCTAAAGACAAATAAAGAAATATTGCATTTGACGAACTCACTGATAATCATAACATCCCATAACCTTTCATAATGTCCCAAGTTACATATGTGGCAGAACAAATTATATTTGAGAGCTGCAGAGTGTCATGATGACTGAAATTTAGGGCCGCAACCATCATTATATTAATGAATCGATTCATGTGTTGATTCTTTCCTCAATTATTCAGATAAAACCCAGATTTTATTTATATGAAACAATATATCCTGTCTAGTGTTGTCCCCCAAACGATGGCTATAAAAACAAATATAGTGAACATCTATATAGGTTATCATATACATATATGCAAAAAAGGAAACAATACATCCTAAAACAAAAACAACTGCTTGCCCACTGTTTTAAAGTTATGGATTATCAATGGATTATTACTGTAAATTAAGAGTAATGCACTGAAGAAAACAGTTTTAAAACTGAAATCTGGGTCTGTTCATTACACAAAGCTACCGTATGTCTTCGGAAAACCTGGAGTACAGTATACAAGATATAAGCTGCATTCACGGCATGACAGGGTTTTCAGAGAATGGTCCGAAAAAGAGAAAATATCCAGTGAGCGGCAGTTCTGAGGGTGAAAATGCCTTGTTGATGTCGAGAATGGCCAAACTGGTTCAAGCTGATAGAAAGGCAACAGTAACTCAAGGCTACAATTCGCATGGGCTCACCAAAACTGAACAATAGAAGATTGGAAAAAGTTTATTTCTGCTGCGACATGCGGATGGTAGAATCAGAGTTTGGTGTAAACAACATGAAAGCATGGATCCATCCTGCCTTGTATTAATGGCTCAGGCTGGTGGTGGTGTAATGATATATAGGGGACATTTTCTTGGCACACTATGGGCCCCTTAATACCAACTGAGCATTGTTTAAACATTACAGCCTACTTGAGCATTGCTGCAGACCGTGTCCATCTAGGGCTGGGCGATAAAACAATAATGATAACTATCACAATATATATTTTCCCTTGATAGTGCAATAATACATGTTCGATATAATGTTTGTGCGCCAAAAGCACAATGAAAGAGGTTGGATTTACCATGGATTTACTGTAGTAACGCTAACTGCACCATGGTATTGTGGCATAAATATGAGCTATACACATATGGAATTTTATTATATTATTAATGTAGACATGTATGTATAAAGGTGTTAAAGGAGCAAGGGTTCTTATTAACTTAAAGCATTGGTGCATTTGTATTTATAGTAAATGTATTTAGGCTACTGCTTTTATACAAATACCACAGAAAGCATATAGCTAGATTTTACCATGGTAGTGAGGTGCTACAGTATGTGTGGTTTTACCTTTGGTTATCATGATCTAATTGTGTCATACTATAGATGACCAATGGTTAATTTTAAAAAGTACAGTCCTAACTCAAATGGTCAGAACATTAAAATTTTACCCTATAGCTGCTACAATTTTTACAGATGTTACTGTTTTTGTTAATGAACATAAATTTACATCTGCATCGTGCCATCAAAGTCAGGGAACAAACCTGTTTCATGATTTGAAACAATATGAACCATAAGAGCATGCAGAAAGCAAGAAATTACTAACAAAAAAAGTCTGGAAAAGGATTTTACTTAAGTTTACTTGTGCATATTTTGATGTAGAAAAAATAGTTTACCATTATAAATGTTTTGAACATTGTACCTCAGATTTGTGAAATGTTCACCTGTTTGGCAAGTGTTTCATTCCGACAAACAAACAAACAAAAAGAGTTGTTTAAAACCACAATTAACTGTCTGGTTTCTATAACTTTCATTCAAGAGAAGAAATCTGCCTTTAAACTTGAAAGAAATAAAAATGTGACATTTATCGTGCTAATTACTGATATGAAAAATGTTATCGTGATAATTTTTTTAGACATATCACCCAGCCCTATGTGCATCCCTTTATGACCACAGTGTACCCATTGTGTGATGGCTACTTCCAGCAATATTGCGCACCATGTCACAAAGCTCAAATAATCTCAAACTGGTTTCTAACAAACCACAAGAGTTCACTATACTCAAACGGCCTCCACAATCACCCGATCCCAGTCCAATAGAGCATCTTTGGGATGTGGTGGAATGGGAAATTTGCATTATGGATGTGCAGCCAACAAATCTGCAGCAACTGTGTGACGGTATCATGTCAATACAGACAACACGAAATAAGGATGAATGCTTCTAGCGCCTTGCTGAATCTATGGCATGAAGAATTAAGGCAGTTCTGAAGGCAAAAGTGGGTCAACCCAATATTAGAAAGGTGTACCTAATAAAGTGGCCAGCGAGCCTATGAATTACTTCTACTGTGCCTTTTGGTCCTTGTTAATGATAGGGTATCGCTAATGGGGCAGGCCAACTGAAAACTAGCCAACAAGTTTGACATGCCGGTCATTTGCAATGTGATGTAAAAGTGTGAAGTGTAGTGTACTTACTGGGGTCATTTAATTCACATGGTTTGGTGATCTGCTGTTTCTTGCCTCCAGCTTGCTTGAGTCCATTACACGCTGAGCTTCCCGAAGTGGCAACGAGTCTTCCATTGTGCGGGAGCAGCATACCTCCATGTGTGATCCGCACCGATGGGCTCATGACGACATCTATCTGTTGAGAGCAGCCCCCAGAGGTGGACTCGTAAAAGCTTTTGCTTATCTGAAGGCTGGGCGGCACAGAGGGCGGCTGCGAGCGAATGGAGGGGCGAGGGGGCAGCGCTGATGTCACAGCAGGAAGGGGCAGAGTCTCAGCAGGTAAGATATATCCACAGCGGTCACATTTTACATGGTCCTCACTTGGCTGGCCACATTTACCACAAACTGTGAGGTAATCATCAGGCTGAAGGGGCTGCTGGGTGTGGGAAAGCCAGAATAACACTTAAAACACCTTAGTCAGGGTAGCACCATATTTCATTTTTGATGGGTATAAAAATGAGGCTGTGAGGGACTGAAGTATAGTGCGTTCAATGGACTGTATGATTGTTCACCTGACAATAGACAAAAACACCATAAAAGACAACATTTGAAAGTTACATGATCTAGGACTTTTACACAGTGCATGTCATTGTAAAGACTTCAAGTCTTCCCCTCACAGCAGGGGTCGGCAACCGTTAACCATTTCTAATTTTTCTGGTTAACCACTGTGTTAAACTGACGTTTCGTGCTGGCATTCGTGCTCTGCATCTGTGAACAATAAACCCCACCTAGGCACCTACTTTGATCTGATTGGCCATCTCAATTATTTTGACATTGACGAGCGCTATTAGCCACGCGCATCTGTAGAATAGCACAGGTTAATTCTCACACTTTAATAGTATTTATAGCTCCTAACAGTGACTATGAGGAATGATTACCTTAAAATGTATGTTGGTATGCAGTTTTCCCTATTGCTCGCGTGAGTTGTATTAGCAACCCTTCAAAGTTTGAAAATACCAACCAACCAATCTCCATTACTTTTTATTATAAAACAGCAACAAAAAATAAAACAAGAAAACATCTGCCAATGGGCTCAAAAAAAAAAAAAAAAAAACTTATTTTAAAGGGAAAACCATTTTTTATACAACCCCGACATTTATTTGTTCTTGTTTTAAGCATAAGCTCACTTATGCTCACTTATACTAATTTTCTTCCATTTCTCAGAAAACAAGACTTCATTACTTCATTTTGTATCTTAGGCAAACCGAGACTTATCATTTGCACTTACATATTGTTGCTCTTTTGTTAGTTTTGATTGCTTCTATTGTCCTCATTTGTAAGTCGCTTTGGATAAAAGCATCTGCTAAATGACTAAAGTAAATTTATCTTTATTTAAAGAGGACATCGGATGAAATTTTCATTTTTTAGCTTTTTTTTTTTCTTTCTTCCATTTAGTTAGGTTTCTGCCGTATCTGCCAGCTCATAAAAGCTGAAAAGAAAACACGCAGCCAGTTTGTTATGGGCTGTCTGAGTCTGAAACTATGTCAACCAGCGAGCCGTTTCAATTTGCAGCCGGTTTCTATGTAGATAGCTAGCTATTTAAATCACCTCCGAGCCATTTATAGATAAATTCAAGTCTTGTGTTGACACGCCCCACGGAGGAGAGGGGCGGGGTGAGCAGTAGCTCATTATCATTTAAAGAGACATGCATCGAAACGGCTCGCTGTGAACAAAGCTGTTTTTGACAAGGTAAAAAGGGTGTTGTTTTAAACGACCATTAAGGAATTTTAACCAAAGTATGTTACAGACATTTCATGAAGACCCTAAAGAATCATACTGTAGGAGGCGAAGAGGGCATCCGATGTCCCCTTTAAGGACAATTGGGTATTTGTTTTAAAAAGCAAGACAAAAATACTGAGGAAGATTTGCAATGCGTGCAACATTTAATGCCATGTATGCCATTAATTTAAGACTTTCTGATCTGATTTAAGACCTTTTTAAGGCCTTAATGTGTTAAAGGGCAAATTAAGACTTTAAGACCTTTTTAAGACCCTCATTTGACTTTTGCACATTCACTGTCTCTGCATTTAGACTGGGGTAATACAGAAGTATAGGGTATGGTCTCACCTCAACTGGTTTGCCCACAGGAGCAGGACTATCGTTCATCGCCCGCCGTTTCTGATGGACACGTCTCTTAACACTGATGTCTGAATCTAGTGACGTACAGCAGAACAACAGCCATGTACATCAACTCCTGTTCACTTGATCAAGATCTCCAAAAGTCTCAAAGCATCTCAGATTAATCACTATTGACTTAACTTAAAATGACCTAAATTAACACTTCAACTTGATTGCTCATAAAGTAACTCCAGTAACCAGACAGTGTTCTGAATTTTGATGTGCTCTTTTCTTCAATGCCATAGGAATATATGAGTTTATCCGTTAGATATTTTTGCTTTCTGTAAATTCTGAAAATGAGAAAACCCATTGGTTCTGCTCCATCTGCTTACCTGGACTCTTAGGACAGGTGAGAAGAATGCTGTCCAGCTCGACTCTTTGGATCATATCGGATCTGCAGGAGAGACACGGTGGCAGACAGCATAAGAATTATGAAATGCATCAGATCCGCTCAAGAAATGTCACAGCTAATGTTCCGGGTTCAATGCAAATTAGGCTCTATCAACATTATTTGTAATCATTTTGGAGAGAATTTTTTTTTTCTGTAGTGATCACTTTATGCCATAAATGCTGTAGATAGAGCTTAACTTGGTAAAACATTTCATCACACCAACAGACAATGTGGGCAATACTGTATGTGGCATACAATAAGCCACACAATGCATTTCAGAATAGAAGTGGTGAAGTTTTAGTAAAAGGAAGGTCGAGTGTGTCTGATTTCAAAGTTGTTTTTTTTTTGAGCAGCCAAGAATGTGAATGTAGCTTATTTGACCCAAACTATAGACATAAACACAGCTAAAGCTAAAGTTCAAGACAGTATTACTCCCAATGCTCATGTTTCTACTCGATTTACTTGTCATCAAACATCTGAAGTTAAATAGGCCACTTTTTATTTGGCTAAGTCAGCTCATCCAGTGCCATACCTTTGCTCCAGCTTTCTGACTGGAGCAGAGAACTGTGCGTGCTGGAAGAGCCGCCCCTGAACCAGAACTCCTTGGGACGGCGCTGGACTCATTATCAGATAGCTGGTTCGATTGGGGTTCACTGATTCACTGGGAGACCATCAACAACAACACAGTGCACAGTGAGCATATACATTCCATCTACATACAGGCATTTAGACAATTTAGAAAGGCATTTAGAAAAAAAAAATGTAGATAAAAAAAAAAAAAAGGTCTTGTAATTGAAATTGAATTATTATGCTGAATGACAAACACAATTATTTTGCTCGAACTGCAATCACAATTATTAATCACGATTAGAAATTTACTTTTACATTTCATCAGAATTATTGCACTTTCAAATCAAGAGAACAACAACTTGCATGATTTATTTTACCTCATCTAGTTTCCTGATGTATTATGTTTATTATATAAATTAATACACTCTTTACATTATGGGAACTGGTATAAGAAGCTTCTATGAATAGCTAAACCAGTGAACTTCCTAATATTAATAATAATTCCTCCAGCAACTCCAAATTATGTGTAGTGGTCGATCGATATATCGCCAAGGCCGATATATCGGCCGATATCTGCCATTTTTCAAATATCGGCATCGGCCGATCAGTTTTTCTGTTTGGCCGATGTGTTCGAGACTTTTATTTTGACGGCGCGTCGGACACACAGTGCTCACATTCTCCCTCTTGTCCGCTGTTGTCATTCAGTTCTGTCTAATACGGATAGAAGTCTATCTAATAATCAGATAGAACTGTTAAACAAAGGAATTAAAATGTATACAAAAAAGTATTATAACGATTGCTTTAATATTATTAAATGCAAACATTATAATACTTTCTCGTTTGCCATCAGCATTCCGCAAATACGCATTTATATAATTTAAACAAATCTTTGAATGACTAACGAACATTTAATTTCGCAAACCTTGCAGACTTAAGCCCCGTTCACACCAAGAACGATAACTATAAAGATAACTATAAAG